AATAAAATTAAACAAATATATATATTTTGAGTTGAGACGGAACAAATAAAATTAAGGAGTATAATTAATTTTAATATATTACATAATCTACAATCATTTATAAACTTTTAATTATATCGATTTTCAATAAACAAATATATTTATATACATTCAAAACTCTTTATTTTGATTTTTTTGTTTTTTTTTTTTTTTTAAAAAAAAATAGTGATGTTAATTAGAAATTAATTTATATTTATTTTTATTATATAATTTCCAATATGTTTGTTTGTAAGGGCTTGGATGGGTTTTGTTATTCTTATTTCGAATAATTCTTCAAAAATTTCTATTTCACAAATTTATTTTTTATTTTTTATTTTTTTCAGTTTCTATCCATATATTTATTTTTTATAACTTCTTACTTATTCTTCACAACTCTCTATTTATAATTTTATACATTTTCATCTATAAACTTTCAATTTTGCCTTCAAAATAATATTTTATTTATAATTCTATATACCTAATGTATATGCTTTCACAACCAACATTTCCTTACTTTGTTGATAGCTAAGGTACGACCGTTAGTTGTTTCCCTAATCGAGTGAGAATCCTAGTTACGACCGTAGTTTTACTGACTCGACATTATTACGGACTAGAAAGGTCCAATTCAATTTAACCAAATTTCTACGCCGATTTATTCAAAATTGATTTTAATTCTTCCTTAAAATATTCTTCTTCTAGGTTGCTAACCAATTGAAATATTACACAATTACGGGTGTCAATCTCTAATGTAGCTATAAAATCTCAAATCAATACGCGCACAATAATCAATTTAAAATTTATAAACTCATAAATTAGAAGAATTAAAAATACCCAACATCGATGAACACCAAATTCAACTAAAATCAAGTCTCACAAATTCACTCCAAACATCACGCCTAAGGCCTTGGTGCAGTATGCTTTTCTCCCAAATATGCCCAAAAATTGTCAACTCCTGAATGTTTAGTAACAACCCAAAAGAATATCACTAGGAGCATATATATTCGCAATTCATACCCACAAATCGCCCAAAATATAACAAAATTTTTATTTAATATAGCACATATCAACCTATTTATATCATATTAAACATCGATTGCAATTCAAAATTTACTATTTAAACTATTTAAAAAATGAAAAAAATAAAAAGACAGGTGAAAGTATTTTTTAAATTTTAGTTAAATTAAAGAAAGTGGAGAAAGAATGTAATAAAGATTTTTGTTAAAATTAATAATTGGGTAAATTTAGGGGCAGACAAAAAAGGAAAATGAGTAAATTTGACGGAGAGAACAAATATATTTTTCTACAAAATATTCCATAAATTAGTATTTAGTATTTTAGTACTACACTCATAATTAACATTTTTCTTTTTTTTTGCTCAAATAGGAGTTAGTAATATGTGATATTTGTTTAGTAAAGTTATTTTTAATGTATTTTTTGCTTTTTTTTTGTTATATATTAAGAAGGCTTGTTAATCAATGCAGGAGTTATTATTTATTTATTATTTAATTTTATTAACTAATAATTTAAAAAATTTAAATAAAATAATCATATTTGTATCAATTAACGTATTTAACATTTTCTTTTTCTTTATAGAATTGTTAGATGAGCTAGATGTTTATGTAAGATTTTGCTGATATATACTTTTTTAATTGTTTTTATATATTATGAGAGTTTATGAATTAATGTAATAGATATTGTTTATTAATTTATTTAATTTTGCTAATTTATTTTTTTTTTAGAGATTTAAATAATTATAGTTATATTAAAGTCAACATATTTAATTTTTGCTTTTTTTGTTTTTTTTTTTTTCTTAAATTATCTACGCACACCAACACCACATGTTACAAGGTAAAGCGGGGCAAGTAAATCCAAGACGCCGGTGCCAATAACTAACACAGAGGACTTCAACAAATTTGATTGCACTTCAACCCCAAATGAAGAGAGCTCGTATGACGACTATAGTTGTGTATCATATAGGGCGATAAATTACAACTTCAATTTAAGCACAATAAAAAAGAATACCTTAATTGATTGATGAAGAGAATACAAATGAAATTCGAGCAAAATCAATAACACTAGTAAAAACTCAATATCACAGTTTAAGTAAGCAACCAAGGTTCTTTCAAATAAATCGACACCAAATTAAGCAAAATAAATATGAATTACTTGATGATAGATTGAAGCGGAGATAGACAATATTACACAAAAAAAATTAAAAAGTATTGAGGAGAACCATAAAGGCTTCAATGAAAGTCACGTTCGGTAGGCAAAACAATCAATTGGGGTGAGATTTGGGAGAGAACGAGAGAGAGTGAGATAGAGAAAGAGGGGCCGAGACTATTGATTGTGAGTTTCTGTGATGGGGTTAGGAAAATACAATCAATTTGGGGTGAAATTGGGGTTGGGGAATACAATCGAATCAAAAATTTTGATTTATTATAATCAAATTTCACCTCCAATTTCGCATAAAATTTAACGATTCATGAGTGGAGGTTAAATCGAGATGAATTTATAGTGAAAATGGAGTGCAATGAAAAAGAATGGAGTGCAATCTAATTAACTTGTAATGTGGATTGATTTTAAATGAACTTATGGAATTAAGGACTAATCTCCGATTGTCCGATATATTTATTGGCTATCCTATAATATACTTTATACCCGGCCGAACCTAATACCCTGCAAATCAGGCCCGACGGAAAAGTCACGCTAGGCTATCCCTTACGGGATATATAGTATGTCTTCATATATGTTTATTCTGTAATTTGTTGTTTAACAATCTTGATTATTGTTACAACAAGCATATGCATAACAAAATTTGGGAACCTAGTTTTTTACTTGAATCAAAGGATTTTCTCTTTGTGAAGATGGAATTGTGGAGTTATATTAACATATTATTTCATATTTGTTTTTAATGACTTTTTCCACAACCTACTTGATTTTTACTTTTTTGTGATTAGTTGTTTGAGCCAACAGAGGAAAGAAAGGTATTTTGTATACTGTACCAAAAAAAAAAGTTGAAAGTTAGCTAAAACAAAATTTCGTAGCAAAATGTAATAAATAATTCATAGAAAAAATATTTTTGCAATGAAACTCATTTCATTGTCTATACCGCATTAGTAAAGGTTTTTTACGACAAATATGACTTTTGTAACAAAAAATAAACTTTTTGTAATGAAAGTTAAAAAAAGAGATATAGTTACCAAAATATGATTTCGTAGCTAAAGTTCTTTTGCTATAAAAGTAAAATTTATAACAAAAAATTTTAGCAACAAAATATGTATAATTTTTTTAGTCAAATTATTTTAGCAATGAAAATTAATTTGTAGCTAAAACCCTTTTTCTATGAAGATAGAATTTTCTAACAAAAAAAATTTTAGCGACAAAATTAATTTTTTAGTACATAATTTATTTTTAGCGATTAAATTAATTTTTGTAGCTGATTAACATGTTTTAACTACAAAACTATTTCATAGTTAAAAATAATGTAGCTAATTAGATACTCCCTTCGTCCACTTACAATGTTTACGTATTTCTATTTTGGGACGTCCAATTACAAAGTTAACATTTCGTTAAATACACTACTTTTTTCCACAAATACCCTTACTTTACATCACACCATTACTTTTACACAAAAAAATAAGGGCAAAAATGTCATTACATTACTTTTAACTATTCACTGTAATTAAAATATTATTATTTCTTAAATACTGCGCCAAAAGTAAATGTAAACCTTGTAAATGGACGGAGGGAGTACTTTTTTGTAGTGATATTGGAGTTGCATGAAAATTATTTGTATGCTCGAATATTAATATATCACATGCATTCATTATTTTTTATATTTTTTACACAATTCTCATACTTCACATAAAAAAAAAAAAATATTCATTCAAATTATCTCACAAAACAAACACACCATTGTTTTTAAAGTTTTTTTACCATTCCTCATTGCTCACAACCAAAATTAGTTTACAATAGTAGATAATACTCACTCAGTCCCCTCACAAATCACCATTTTTTTCTTTTTCTTTGTCCGACAATAGATGATTTTTTTTTATTTTTTTATTTTTTGGAAATTTATCAATCTTTTACAATTTAACAAATATAAATCAATTTAATTAAAAAGATTTTAACTTCTTATCTGTTCAAAATCCCTCTATTTCTATATATTCCCTCAGTTAACAAATTTTTTTATCTATTTTTAAAATTCTTAATATTTTTTATAAAATTAATTTATGGCAATAATGAAAAAATAAATATATTTTTTGTTTATTTGTATTGTATAAAATTTTATTAATGATATTCATATCGTATATATTTTATTGAAATATAAAACTTCTTGCGTATTAATATTTAAATATTAATTATTATTTCAAAATATAATATAAATTAAAAAAAATTGTAAAAATACTTCATTAATGTCTTTTCATTAGATATTACATCTTAATAAAATCTAAGTTCTACGATACTATCTTTAAATTTGAATATTAATTATTTTATCAAAAATTATAGTATAAATTATGCAAAAATTATAAAAATACTTCATTTGAGAGAATGAGTATATTTTTTCAGTGAAAATTGTGTTTTAAAAAAAATAATAATAAAAATAAAATAAAATAAAAAGGGAAAAAAGAGAAACGCCAATTCTTCATTGGTACACGGGTGAATAAGTTTGCAATTTAAATTGCAATTCAAACCCAAAATTCAACACACATCAAAAGTTTTTTTTTTTTTTTTTTTTTAGGTTTCCATCACATTCGTTAGAAGGCCACAAAACTTACTTCAATGAATGTGGTTCTAGTTTTGATTTTAAATAGTAAAATTTTGAATTGAAATAATTGTTTGATGTGATATAAATATGTGTTTATGTAATATTTTTATATAAAATTAATTTTTAGTGTAATAAAATAAATAAAAATTGGATGTTTGATTCAATATTTTTTGAAAAAAAAAAAAAATCAAAGTAGTAAAATCAGATGTAAATCTGACAAGTAAACACACCGAAGTTTCACAAATGGTAAAAAGTGGTTCAGCGCTGTAATAATACCCCACCTCAATATAGCAGCACAAGACAATTAAGCATTTAGACTTACAAATACAAATAGGAGGAGACATACGAGAGTTGTAACCATCCGGACATGATTTATTATAGGAATCAATCAATCAATCACTCCGAATCATGTCTTCTCTTATCCATGTGTTTCTTGTGCTTCCTCCTGTCATCAGAATCGCGAGAACGCCGCTCCTCATGCCTGTCTTTGTCCCGTTTCTTCTCCTTGCGCTTTTCCAGTTTCCTCTCCTCGCGCTTCCTCTTCTTTTTGCTACTCTCATCTTCCGAATCATCTTGTTCGTTCTTCACGGACGAGGATGATGGAATTGGGATGTTTGCCTTGTTGACTGATTCGGTATTCAGAACCGCAGGCAGACTTGATTCTTCTGGAGGATGAGGCCCCCTGCAGACAGCCAAGAATGTTTTTTTTACATAAAAACAACTAACTGCTGCATCATCAAACTCCAGATGTGTCATAAGGTGTATTATATCATATGTTCATCTATGGATAAGTTCTTACTTCGCAAAACCGAGTCCTTGAACCCGAGCTGCTTCAGCGTGACCAGCTCCCAAGTCTTCTGCAGTAGACCCACGCTTTGTAAGTTCAGCGAATTCATGTTTATCCAGTCGATTACCGGTGGACTTTGTAGCACGCTTTGGAGCTAGGCCGAGAGCTTCCCTCATTGCTTGCTCTTCTTCTTCCTTGATCCTTCGGATCTCTTCTTTCATGGCCTCAGAATTTGGACCATCAGATTTTTTGTCACGATTGTACCAGTGGAGGTCTTTCCCTGCAAGAATTTTTGAGTAGATCTGATGCTAAGTTTGCTTTCCAAAATAAAGAGAGTGAGAAAGAAAGATAATTGCTTTGAATTAAGTGGGCCTCTGTTCGGTATATAATTTTACAAGTCTTGATTGCACACTGGCTTAGAATGATTAAGCCCTTGATAATGACTAGTTTAGGAGTTGAGAAAACAAAGGAAAACAATTCCCTCCCAAAAGTGGGAAGTCTTTTTTCGAGGAAACTAAGAAGAAAATTTTCCTTTCAAAATCATTCATCTATATAGAAGTAGAAAAAAAATAATCAATTTAGTTTTCTTTTGATTTCTTTTCTATCCAATTGCTCCCATCCAAACTAAACCAAGGTGGGTACTAATGTAATGTTGCTCAGAAAGTGGGGTTAAAGTTTTAGCCAGAGGATGACAACTCGTAAGTTTTGGTGGATCTAACTACATAACAAGTACTAACCAGACACCAATAAAGGAAAACCAAAGGCTGACACTTGAATATTCCTCTTGAATGCAGATACCCGATACCCAATAGATGGGGAAATGTTAAAATACTAGGATAAATATAATCAATAAAATCCTTGGTATGGTTATGCAACCAAACGTGGGTGAGCAAAGATCAATTATCACCCCTACCTAAGCCATTGGTAAACCAGTAAGGCAAGCAAAGATGCTAAAGAACAAGGAACTCGTAACCTGATAGTAATAAGAAGCGACACAAGAGTATGATAGCTCTACCAACTCTCAAATGACACCTTCAGCCATCATATGTAAACATGTCAAGGAACCTCTCATAGCTAAATTCAAACTTCGATCACTGACCTATAATTACTCATAGTATTGCTCTGCAGCATCTTAAAGATAAAGATATCCAATGAAGGATTCTTACATAAAGATATCCAATTAAGGGAAGAATAGAGAAATGCACAGTCCAAGATAAATGGCTGCTTCCACTGCCTACTCACCTACAAGCGAACTTTGGTCAAGAATGTCCAAGAAGAACTAAAATGGGTTGAATCGAGTGTTACAGGGGATGCCAATCAAAATTGGGAACAAGAATGAGAGCAGTTGAAAACAAAAGATGAAGCTGCGAGGTATGAGTGATATGGGAATATCTGAAACATTTTTGCTTCTCTTTCTGGACAGAGGGATAGTGCGTTCTATAAAAGTGAAGATAAGTGGAGGAAGAAAGCTGAACTTAGGATTCTCAGTACTCATAGGAGTTTTCTAATCCTTGGTTACAACTTACAATATGAAAAGTAACCCAGGAAAGACCCATCCCCCAATATTGAAGTGTGTAAATTCATTCGACACTAGTTCTAAATGACTAGTTAAATTTTTTTTGTATCGATTGTTAACAGGCTAAGATGTGTTTGTGTTTCAGATTTCATTTCTCACATTTTTCAACAGACCTAGTTAAATATATATTTTAATGTTTACATTAAATACAACACATCCAAAACTTATTTTTCATTCAAAAATGTTCTAATCCATAACACCCCAGAACACAAACAACCACACTCTAGTTTATAAGATAATTAATAAGCGAAAAGAATCCATTCTAATTTTTTATAGACATAGTGTTTCAGAATGATCATCTTTTCATGTAAAGCTCAGTTGATAAACTTCAACTTGGATCTTCAATCAAGTTCATTAGCTTATTATGGCTTCCAACTGGTTTTAGACTTCAACAATTACTTCAATTCTACAATATTTAGCAATAGCATCAAACTTAAGTGTTTGTGGTTCAAATGTAACTTTGGCTAAAAGCTGAAGCCAACACTTGAAAGAAAGATGCCCATAGTCATAGAGCCTCTATCAAAGAAAGATGCCCTTGTTTCTATCTGCTACTGCCACTCTGGATGCCCCTCTTTTGGTACCCATTGAAGTAGTTTAATTGTAGAATCTTCCAGTTTCACCCAACTCGTAAGTATACTAAGCTAAATATAGCTGAATCAAGTAAAGACTCATCCAACCATCGGTGAAGTTAGTAAGGTTAAATATTGCTATGCTAAAGTGGTTGTGTTTAGCACTATTCAAATTTCAAAGTAGTTGGTACTTAGAAACATTCAGCAATTCAGAAAATTGGTGTTTCTAACCCACACCTTGTAGAGCTACTAAATGCTAAAACATATATCTCTAGTTTCTAAAGCGGTCAGGGCATGAATTTTCTAAGAGCTCAGTCTACAATTCAAACTGTTCAGCGGAAGAAATCCATGAGGGCTACCAAGGTTCAATGCAGTTATAGTGACACCTAGATGCTCAAATATTGCAACTTTGGGCATACAGTAAAGAGTGGTTAAAGTAGTATTATTATATCTTTTGTAATCTGAATCGGTCTTGATGATGATACAAACAAGAGTATTGACAGAAATATCCATAAACCTCTAAAAGAAATGAATATGAAAGGGTTATCTAAAAATCTCATATTCAACGAATACTAAACTGCAAAGCTGGTCCACATATACATACGTGAATATGCCATCACGCATACCATGATGCCCAATGGCTGGCATCTGAGGTAGGGACAACTGGACAAGGTAATGAGAAGATATCACAGGATGGTCATTAGTTACTGTAATCAACTGTCCATGCATAATCCCCACATATTTAGTTATATACACTTAATATTCTGACTTGAACAATTAGAAACAATGAAAATATTCACAATTCGATCAAGCACAAACAAGCACAAAGAGAAGGGTGTTGAATTTACCTTTCTGCCATCTTCCAACAGGTGCCTTAATACTGTGGCCTAAATAGTTTTCCCGATGTTTATCAACTTTTACATCATCCCAGTTAAACTCTGCACATTCAAAATCGATTGATCACTACAGACTCAAGCTCAACTGGAAAATAGATAAATAAAAATGAATCACTCAAAAAGTTTTAAAGAAAAGAAAAATGAGAAAGAGAGGTAATAATAAAAAAGAAGATAATGCTGGAAGTTGGGAATGCATACAATATAAGTTACTGTGTGGACAGGGTCTGGAAAGACGACTTAACAAAACCCCTTTGATGAATAATTTCATCTGTGGCTTGTTATTTATCATACACATTTTCTAGTGCTTTTTGGCCTAGACTTTTAATTCCACACCACACATACTATAGTGCTTGCTATATTAAAAACATTCAATTCACCCTCGTGTTAAAAGAAGACAAATATTATCACTTCAATTGAAAGACACTAGCTGACACTGGTGTGAAATATATGGAGGCTGCCCGCATAAACATTGTAGTTAATCCTGCAACCCTAAAGTCAGAATCCTTACATATTAAGTAGAGAAATAAGAGGTAACATCTCCATGCTAGTTATTAAACTATGGGATAGCATACAAAACATACATTAGTAGATAATTAACAAACACATTTCATATGAACAAACACCGACATCACTTCCAATCACAATTTGTATTTGAAAAACCTGAACAACTCAGGTTGCATATTTCATTTATTCCACCTTGGACTCCTTCCTTTCAAGGTTTCGTCCCCTACCAAACACAGTTCCATAATTCCCGCTCCTAATATCAGTACATAGGTATTTTATATATGTTTGGAAAATTCGAACACCTCCACAAGTAATTTAAACCCACAAAATCAATTAATTTTTCAAATGGATGAAAAGCATCCAGAGAGCAATCAATCAGACGACTGATTCGCGACGCACATCGCAAAAAGAAAAAACAAATTTCTAACCGAATTCGCTAGAAAACCTTTAATTTGGGTGAAATAGACAGACAGTAGATGAAGGGCTTACGATCACGGCCACCGCGAACTCCACCTCTGGTCGGATGGTACATGCTTCTCCTCTCCTCTGAGCCCGCAACTTCAACTTTCTTGGAATTATTTTACAAGCGCGGCTCCGATCTGCAGAGACAAAAATGGTTCCTCTTCCCGTTATCGCACGATTGAATTGGCTTAGGGCTTGGATTCGATGTAAGAAGAAAAGCTAAAACAATGGAGTAATATATTGGGATTGATTTTTGGGATCTAAATTTCTACAATTACAATTGAGCCCCTTAACTTCCGTGTAACTCGAAATTTAGTAGGGCTTGTTTTCGTTTCATTATAGTTTCAATATTTCAATATTTTCTGTTTTTTTTTTTTTCGCGGGCGCGTTAGTTTTTTATTTTAAATAAGAAAATAATATGTATATGTATATGTTTATGATGACAATATATATTTACTACTCCCTCTGTCTCAAACATCTGCAATATTTTATTTTTTTCAAATTTATTGCAATATTTTTAAATTTAAAAATAATTAATAATATTTATATACATATATTAATATATATTTTACTTTATCGCATCACACCAGTCAAATAAAAAAATAAATAATCATTTCTATCTCCAATCACGTCACTTAATATCCAAATTATCTCAATTTACTATACCCACCTAAATTCTCATGTCAAACACAAATGTTGCACGGTGTTTGGGACGGAGGGAGTACTTCATTCATTCCACTAATTTATCCACTTTTTATTTTCGTTCTACATAATTTATTTATTTTTTTTAAATATAATTATACATTTTAAAATTTTTAATTTATAATTTTTTATTTTAATTAAACTATTTAATCATTTTAATATTAATTTATATTTATTTTTATTAAATTATAATTATTTTTATTACACTTCTTAATCATTTATTAATAACACAATGTACCTAAATAAAATAGAACAATTTAAGTAGGGCGGAGATAATATATTCTCCCTCCGTCCCATGTAATATGGGTGTATTAGACACAGAAATTTAGGTAAAGTATAATTAGTAATTAATTAAGAAGTGTATTAGTAAAAATAATAATTATTTAGTAAAAATAATTATAGATTAAGATTAAAATAAGTAAATAGTTTAATTAAAATTAAGAAAATTATAAAATTTAAAATTTAAAATACAATTAAAGTGCATAATTATATTTTCAAAAATAGAAATAACAAGTTATGTGAGACGGACGAAAATAAAAAATAGGGACAAATTATGTGGGACGGAGGGAGTATAATACTTAAAAATATTATTTAAATAAAACATTTAATTTAAATAAATTTTTATGTCACTTTGAAAAATAAATTGATAGTATAAAAATAATATTTTAGGTTCAATTAATTTTTTAATAATAGAATTGTTAAAACTAAGAATACAAATATAGACAAAAAAACAAAAAACAAAAAAATTAATAATAATAATAATAATAAATATCCATTATATATTTTTTTTCTTCTACTTATGGATAGAGACAAAAACTCATTCTTACAAGTCCAACCCCACTCTACCAAATAATCCCTAACGAGACTTATTTCTTTGTTCAACTTGCTAGTTGTTTATTCTTCTTCTATTATTGGGTTCAATTTTTGTTAATTAATGGGTAATCATGTTATTTATTTGTGTTTCTTTTGGCATTCTGTTTTAAGTAGCTAATGTGAAATAAATTGAAGTCGGACTACTTTTCGATACTTAGGTTTTTATTCAATTATTGTAATTGTGTTGTTTACAATTGCTTGTTAAAATATAATTTTTAAAAAAAATGTTTCTTTTTTTAATGTATTTTAGTTCTTTGCAATTGCTAATTAGAAATTTGATTCTTGAATCATTACTTAACAATTAATGTACCATATTTTGATTAATACGTATTTTGGAGTCGGCAAGTTCAAAAACAGATGATGGTCCTATTAGATATTCTATAAACGGGTTGAGTCAGTTATTAGAAATTTCCTATGAAAGGATGGTGATTTAATTCGACGGTATATAAGAAAGAGTAATCTTAGTCACAATAAAAAGTTCTTCAAACTCAAGCAATAGATTATTGTCCTACTCCTAAGGTTAAAAAAATCTAGATCTATTACATGGATAATTTTATAACACTGAATCGGGAGATGAAGTAAAATGCAATCATTTATTTTCATTGATTACATGCAAATGTAAGTTAAAAACAAATATCAGTGCTACGTTGAATCATTTGAAAAGTTGCAAGATAATTATGAATAAAGTTGAATATGAGGACCGTATGGATAAAAAAGTTAAAATAAACAACAATGCATTATCAACAAAAAAAAAAAAACTAATCCATTGTTGTTAATTCTATTTTGACATTTAATCAACAAGAATGTCGTAAAATTCATGCAAAATTAATTATTGTTGATGAGATGTCTTTTGGAATGGTAGAATTAGAAGAATTTTGTGATTCTATGAGTGTCATTCAACCTCGATTAACAAATTCATCACGAAAAACACTTGTTAAGAATTGCATTAAGATATTTGAATATGAGAAGTTGAAGTTTGAGAGTTTTTTCAAGAATTACAAGGGTAGTGTTTGACATATTTGGACATCTTGTCAAAATATGAGCTATATGTCATTAATTGTGCATTTTATTGATGATGATTGACATTTGCACAAAAGAAGTTGAATTTCTCTTTAATTCTTGCTCACTCGGAGTTATGCAATTAGAAAGAAAATTGAAGATTTTTTGGTAGTATGGAAGATTAAGAATATTTTTACTATAACAATTGATAATACAAGTACGAGTGATGTTGGCTTGAGATATCTAAATGATAAGTTGATAAAATAAGAATGAGTGACTTTAGATCGAAAGTTCTTATATATGAGATTTTTAAAGAAAGTTGGTATTAAAATTGATGAGGACAGCGTCTGAAAAAAATTGCACAAAACATCACAACATTTGTAGAGTTAAAAAAGACAAACACTATGTCTTTAAATGAGTTGATTTAAATCTTGAAAACCTACTAAATGAATCGATTGACATTTAAAACTCAATTTTAGGTGATCTTCACATCAGAAACTATAGTTGATGAAAATAGTGACAAAGAGCTCTGCATCATTACAAAAAGTATAATTTGAATAAGCCATGATAAAAAGGCCAGACAACTAAAGCAACAGGAATTTGAAACTGCACTCTGAACACAACTTGAACAAATAAGAGGCCTCTTGCATAGAACATTTAAAAAGATTAGTACTTATGCGAAGCATGTTGTCCATAAGGTCGATGTTTCGAAAATGGTTAAGGTGATGAATAAAATAGTCATATCATATGACATGAGATGCTATGGGTGTAATAGATACGGGCATGTGCACTGAGTGTGCCACAACTAAGAAAAATAACAAAAAAGCCATAGAAGTTGCATAGAGTGATGAAAAAACTGAAGAACAGAAAATTGTATTATAAAAAAAACAAAAGTAAGTATTGTAGTTAGATAATTTTAAAGATTTAATTTCCACTTGTAGTATTTATTTAATATCATATTGCATTAAGGAGTACCGAAGATTGTTTGTAAGTTTTAATTTTTGTATTTTATAATCTACTTGTGTCAATGACTAATCTCATAGACCAGATCTCTTGGGTTAACGACTAATCATTATCTCAATATGATTTAAATTATTTTATTATAGATTAATTTTCTTTTCTTTTTTTTAAATGAAAACTAGTTATAAATTAAAATTGAACTAAAAATACACCCGGAAAATAAATGTTTTTTTTTTCAAAAATAATACATAGCCTAATAATCTGTTGTTCTTATAATCATTTTGGGTTTGCTTATTCGTGGGGTTTTGGTTTTCAATTTTGATTTTGAATAGTAAAATTTTGAATTGAAATAGTTGTTTGATGTGATATAAATATGTATTGATGTGATATTTTGAATGTAAAATTAAATTTTAGTATAATATAGTAAATAAAAAATATATATTTGATTTGATATTTTTGGGAAAAAAAATTTTTAGAATAATAAAATCAAAACAAAAATTTCACAAGTATAAATGATTGACTAATCTTTTTTCTGTTTTTCTTTTTTTCTTTTTAATGCAGTAATAGTTGCCTCATGTATGGCTGTACTTGTTTTTCATTTTCACTTTTATTAAGACATGATCATGTAGTGTAGTAGTAAGATATCATTTATAACCATAGCAGTGATAATTAATATGCTATGGTATAAACAAACAAATTCCAGAATATTGGGTCCAAATGGAACTGGTTTATGATCCAAAAAATTCAGGTTAGGACCGATTAGAGTTGTTAACCGAACTGAACAACTCATCCGGCTCAACTCGATTCGATTAAAATTCGTTCGCAAACGTTAACAAGCCTAACAATATAAACAAATTCGTTTAGTTAACGAGCGAGCTTGAACTTTGTTCACGAATATTCATTTAAATAACATATTTATTATAAACATTATATATACATATAAAATTATAATTTATAAATAAATAAAACATTAATTTAAAGTACATAAATAAAATAATTTTAATTTTTTTTTAATTTATATATAAATTAAAACAAATGAGACAAACGAACTTAATCGAGCCGAACACAAACACGAGCTCAAACAATAAAAATTCTTAATGAGCTAAGCCCGAACACTACGAACGAATTCGAAAGCTTAACGAACGAACACGGGCTTTATTCGCGAATGTTAACGAACATTTCAAATTTGGCTCGGTTCGGTTCGTTAACAGCTCTAGACCGATTGGCACCTACCATATCATATCATATCATAGCACTACAAAAACAAACAGAAGCAATTTTTTTTCTTTTTTTTTTTTATCGGAATTCATAAGAGCATGTTTTCAATTTGCCATCCATATTGAAAGAACATTTGTATACACAAATAACAATGTACCATCTAATAAGAATTTGGTAAAATTGCAAAATAATCTCAAAACCAATCATCTTTAATGGCAATCAATCCTAAATAGTAAAAAGAACCAATTTTGTTGCAAAATTACAACTAATTGAGTCAAGAAAACAACAAATCCATAATGTTGTAAAACATAACAAGTTTCAGTATAGTCACATATTGATAGAACTAAAGACACTTGAAAACCAAAAAAACATTTTTACCAATCTCAGTACCTTCTTCCGAAGCCACCTCCGCCGCGGCCATAGGCCGGAGCAGCCGGGGCCGCAGCCTGTTCAGTGGTCTGCTTCACGACTCCCGGAAGGTCTGCCATTCCGAGGGTTGTAAGCATCTCAATGGTCTCATTGTCAACCTCAATGAGATCGGTTCTTATGGCCGACTCATCTGGGACAAAGTCCATGCGCCTCTCGCGCTCCTCCTCCTGCAACTTCAATGAGATGCCGCGGACTGGACCCTTCTGGATCCGTTTCATCAGATGCGTCGAGAAACCAGCAATCTTGTTACGGAGACGCTTTGATGGAATGATGGCTACTTCCTCGAGGATTTTCTTGTTTGTGTGAAAATCAAGGGTCATTTTGGAGTAGTACCTCTCGATCACCTGTCGGGATGACTTCTTTACTGTCTTGGTACGCACACGCCCCATCTCTACAAAACAGCAACTAATATGAATTCACTGATTGTAGCAAAAACTCGCAAAACATTAAAATAATTTTAACTAAATTTCAGCACTGGCCTCACGCAAACAATAGAGGTTGTGTTCTTTTGTGGATTTTATTTCAGGTTTTTACTATTCAAACTTTTTTTTTCTTAAAAAATATCACATCAAATAATTATTTTTCTTTTTTTATACTACCTCCGTCCGGCTCTAAGGGTCCTATTTACTTTTTGCGTGTTGATTTTTGAATATTCATTATGTCAAAACGTAGTACAAATTAAAAAAAAAAAATTGCAAAAATACTTTCACTAGTGCCTTATAATACTAATAGAATGACATTTATACAAAAAATTATACAAATATAAGAATATTTTTAATATTAAGTACAATGACGCAAAAGATAAATGTGACCCTTAGAGACGGACGGAGGGAGTATTATACTACAAATTTATTTTACAACTAATACATCACATCAACCTCTATTTATATCACATCAAACAACTATTCAAATTTAACTTTTTACTTTTCATAATCCAAACTAAAAAACTAAAATCTACAAACAAACACAACTCAGTCGACTAGAATGTGTCAAAACACTTCAGGGTAGGTTTTAAGACTAATTAAAGGATCATTCTATTATCTATCTCTAAATAATGGATTAGATTAATAATCCCACATAAAAATTTATTATTAATAAGTTAACATATTAAATTAGACATGTGATAGAAGCTAATAACTATCCACCTACTTATTCATAATAAAAGTGGCCTATGTATTTGCAAGTGTTGTACACAAATTATTTGATTACAAAAGTTCTAAATAGTCTAAACTCTAAACTACATGTACACATACTTTGATACATCAGCCAATATCTAATACCCAATAAGCCTAATCAAAAAGGTATATTATGCATTCAAATTGGTACAATATCAAATCGAAAACCAAGCCATTGAAATCAGAATGGAATTGCTTGGAAATTTCAAATTCAACTTCGACAAAAACAATTAACATTAGAATTTCAAACTTCTGAGCAATGGTATACATGAAGCATTCAATACATGAGTAGTCAACTATTTCTTATGTTTTTCAATTAGATAAAAAAAACAGCATCTTATATCTAAGTTTAAAACAGTAGATTTCTTTCATTATAATGCAATAACTAAACTAACTTAGAAACATCTTGAGATAGCAACCACTTCAAAAAGCTAATTACAAAATCTAAAATAAAGTAATTCATAGCCTACTCCTAACAATACTGATCTGAAAAGAATAAAGATCAGCAATTAAACAATTTACTCTTTGAGATCACAACATCGAACAGTACCATGAAATTTTCTAATTCATATTCCTAAAGCAAATAGAACCGTAGCACGAGACTTAGTGTTTATACAAACAATAACAGCAACGGAACAATAAAAATGAAAATTTCTACACCCGACAAACAATTGCAAACCAACATCAACAAATCCACAATCTTTTGCTACAATATCAATAAGAAAATTACACACCAGGAATGTTTATTTTTCTTTACATTCACCCACCAAAATTACAGAAAAATAAGTAAGTAAATAAAGTTACAAAGACGAATAAAAAAAAAAAAAAAAAGTACATCCGCAATATCGAGCAAAACTATTCATTGCAACCCAGATAAAATTTCACAAAACAAAAAAATAAAAAATGCACGAGATCGAGATCTTTGAAAGCGTAAAAAGAGACGCACAAGTTGCCCTACCTGGAAACAAATCAACAAATCGGATTGGCGTAGGGTTTGGAGGGAGTCGGGAGACAGGAGGCGTGAGAGACAATTAAATTTACATTAGGGAGGGAAGGTGGATTAGGGTTTAGAAAATGGGCTATAGCCCATATTCAATTAACTTTTTCTTTTTTTTTTTCTTTTTTTTTTCCTTTTTTTTTTTTCTTTTTTTTTTTTAATTCAAAATTTTTATTATTCAAATTCCAACTAAAAATTCAATCCCGAAACTTATAATAATATTATTAATTTAATCACTTTATTTTTACTAAATTGATAGTATCAAATCATTTTAAGCTATTATTTATACAGTAATAAATTGATTTTTATTTATTAATACTCTCTCTTTCACTAATAAATTTATTGTATTACTAATTTTAGCCAAATTAATAAATTAACATTTAATTTTATTTAAATTTTTAACTAAATTTTAAAAAATATCTTCAACTATCTATTTTTTTTAATAAAATATTTATTTTTTAAATTCTCGTGTAGGACCCAACTGGAGTAATTTTATTGGACGGAGGGAGTAATTATTATAAAATTAATTATATTATATATATGTAATAATTTTAATAATAATAAGGATATATAATAATTTATTAAAATAAATATTAATATTTATTTTATAATTATATAAGTTGTTGGAATAATTTTATAAATTATAATAAGTAGTCTAATACCCGTATGACAAATTTATGTAAATTAATATTGTTAATATTATATCTTATAAATACGAGTTTGTACGGATCTGCCACTTGAAAAGTCTATCTTGCCCCTCATTTCAAAAATGACAATTTAGCCCTTAACCTACCTTTGTACTCGCTTGAAAAGACGTTTTGGAATCGTCGTCAGCAACCGCCGTCAACCGCCCAAGACGAAACGTTTTGGAACGTCGTCTGGTCGGTTACATTAACCGCCTCGCCAAACGCCTCCACCAGTTCCAGAACTCAAATAGTCCACCCAACCAATCCAGAGACCAATCGGTAGACCAAAAGACTCCTTGACCGCACCCACCAAGCGACCTGTCTATCCGCCTGCGGACCAGCTGACTTGCCTATGCGACCGCAGACCAGCCGACCTACTTTATCCGACCGCAGACCATTAGAAATGTCTGTCCGACCTTCTGACCATCAGACCTGTCTGTCCGAATGCTAACCATCTGACCGAGGACCAACCGACTAGATCAACCGACCGAGGACCTTCCGACTTGCCTATCCGACCGCTAACCAACCAACCTGATCATCCGACCGAGGACCAACCGACCGAGGACCTTCCAACCTGCCTATCCGACCACTAACCAACCTACCTGACCATCCGACCAACCGACCTGACCAACCGACTTGAGCGCAAATTTTTCTCCTTTTCCACCCGACTTCGTGTCTAACTTCCTTTAAGATCCTGCTATCCTTATTTTTATTATTATTATTATTATTATTTGTGCGTAACAATTATCAAAGTTGAAATATCATTGCTATTTTTGACATTTCAAAACTCATAAAGAGATGCAGGGTCACCCTTCTTATCTCAGTCTACCCGTCTGCGGACCAGCTGACTTGCCTATCCGACTGCAGACCACCATCAGACCTGTCTGTCCGACCGCTAACCATCCTACCGAGGACCAGCCAACCATACCAACCGACCGAGGACCTTCCGACCTGCCTATCTGACCGCTAACCAACCGACCTGATCATCCGACCGAGGACCAACCGACCGAGGACATTCCGACTTGAGAGCAAATTTTTCTCTTTTTCCACCCGACTTCGTGTCTAACTTCCTTTAAGATCCTGCTATCCTTATTTTTATTTTTATTATTATTATTTTTTGTGCGTAACAATTATCAAAGTTGAAATATCCTTGCTATTTTTTACATTTCAAAACTCATAAAGAGATGCAGGGTCACCCTTCTTATTTCAGTCTATCCGCCTACGGACCAGCTGACTTGCCTATCCGATCGCAGACCAGCCGACCTACTTTATCCGACCACAGACCATGAGACCTGTCTGTCCGACCGCTAACCATCCGACCGAGGACCAACCGACCAAGGACCTTCCGACCTGCCTATCCCACCGCAAACCAACCGACCTGATCATCCGACCGAGGACCTTCCGACCTGCCTATCCGACCGCTAACCAACCCACCTGACCATCCGACCAACCCACCTGACCAACCGACTTAAGCACAAATTTTTCTCCTTTTTCACCCGATTTCATGTCTAACTTCCTTTAAGATCATGCTATCCTTATTTTTATTATTATTATTATTTTTTGTGCGTAACAATTATCAGAGTTAAAATATCCTTGCTATTTTTGACATTTCAAAACTCATAAAGAGATGCAGGGTCACCCTTCTTATCTCAATCTATCCATCTGCGGACCAGCTGACTTGCCTATCCGACCGCAGACTAGCCGACCTACTTTATCCGACCGCAGACCAGCCGACTTACTTTATCCGACCGCAGATCATCAGACTTGTCTGTCCGACCGCTAACAATCCGACCGAGGACCTTCCGACCTGCCTATCCCACCGCTAACCAACCGACCGAGGACCTTCCGACTTGCCTATCCAACCGCTAACCAACCCATCTGACCATCCGACCGCTAACCAACCCATCTGACCATCCGACCAACCGACCTGAGCGCAAATTTTTCTCCATTTCCACCCGACTTTGTATCTAACTTCCTTTAAGATCTTGCTATCCTTATTTTTATTATTATTATTATTATTATTATTATTATTATTATTATTTGTGCGTAACAATTATCAAAGTTGAAATATGCTTGCTATTTTGAAATGACATTTCAAAACTCATAAAGAGATGCAGGGTCACCCTTCTTATCTCAATCTATCCGCCTGCGGACCGACTTGCCTATCCGACCGCAGACCAGCCGACCTACTTTATCCGACCGCAGACCATCAGACTTGTCTGTCCGACCTGCTGACCATCAGACCTGTCTGTCCGACCGCTAACCATCCGACCAGACCAACCGACCGAGGACCTTCCAACCTGTCTATCCCACCGCTAACCAACCGACCAGACCAACCGACCGAGGACCTTCCGACCTGCCTATCCGACAGCTAACCAACCCACCTGACCAACCGATCATACCAACCGACCGAGGACCAACCGACCTGAGCGCAAATAATTCGATTGTATTTTTGTTTTACAGTTTATATTTCAAATAAATAATGTTTCACTACATTACATTATAGAATAGTCGCGCGGTATACCGCACCAAGAGCGTGTTCTAGTATATATATATATATAATACTTCATTAAAGAATATATTTTAATATTAATTTTAACTTTAGATTTTAAATTTATTTAATATTTTCCACGTTTGGTAATTAGAGTTCTATTTACATTTGAGATGGATATTAAAAAATATTTTAATAATGCTGTATGATATCTTGCATTAAATGAAAATTTTATTTTTTAGATATATTTGTAATGAAATAATATTTATGTAAATAAATATAATTGAAGGAATAATGGATAGTAAAATGGGTAGTTATTTTACATTCAAATTTTAATTATTTTTTATTATTATTATTATTATTATTATTATTATTATTTACGTATTTAGACTATGTATAATTAAAATTATATATATTTCTCATAAAATATTCTATTGTATATTATTTTAATATAAAATTCAAACCGAAATTAAAAGCACCTTAAATAAAAAAAAAAAAAATAAAAAATTGCAACTCTAGTAGAAAAACACCTGAAAAATTATTTTTCAACAATTAAAATATTTTTTAGAAAACTATTTCATAATTTTATTTTAAAGTTTTCATTATAAATTTTGAAAAAGATATATAATTATGATTGTTAAAAATATATTTTTATTTTTATAATTTTTGTAATTATTTTTTAAAATATTAAAAATTGATTTTTTTTATATATTACGAAATAATTTTGAAAAAAATATTTTTGTCAATTTATAAATGTATATCAAATAATTTTAACAAATAAGTGAAAATAATAATAAATATGATATATAATATGACTATATTGAAAACAAATCGTCAACATTACCTTGAACATGGTTGTGTTGAGAACAGAGTCGTGAACATGACCTATAATATGACTCTGTTGAGAACACAATCATGAACATGAGTAGGAACATAGTTATATTCAGAACACGGACATGAACACGGGCTGTGTTCAGAATATAGTCGTTAATAGGGGCATAAACACGGTTATGTTCAGTGCAAGGTAATCAACACGATCGTGTGTTGGCTGTCTAGACGCCCAGTCACTCTTATGAGTCATCAACTGCCGTGTTTAATCCCAGTAAACCATCATGGGACCAAAATTGACAAATTTTTATTTGAGTAGTACCAAAATTGATAAAAATAAAAAAATAAAAAAAAAATCAATGAGACCAAAATTGATAATTTTGCTCTTATAACTTTAATCATTTATAACTAAATGAATTTTCTAATTTAATATTTTAAATAATTATTTTTAATATAATACTTCATCTGTTCCACCTTGGATGTCCTAGTTATTGTAGACACGAGAATTTAGGATAAATATAATTAGTAGATAATTAAAAATATATTAATAAAAATAATTAACCTATAATATAAATTATTATATATTAAGATTAATATAACTAAATAGTTTAATTAAAATTAAAAAATATAAATTAGAAAATTTAAAATGAAATTAAAGTGTGTAATTATTTTCTAAAAAATAAAAGTGACATAAGATATAAAAACACTAGAAACAGCAACATGAACATTATAGGTAGTTAATGTGAACTCAAGGTCATATTTTTTAACCGAACAATTTTTTTTTAAAAAACTTTAGGCGGAGACATGGTATATTTTTTTTAAAAGAAATAATAATAGACTACAAAAAAAAATAGTATATTTGTAACAGAATTCCGTTCATAAAGTTCACGTAGTTAACGTAATTCCGTCTTTAATATCATTAGTAATGGAAAAAGTAAATTTAGGAACGAAAAAACCTCGTTACAAAATTGATAATTTCTTGTAGTGATAATAATAATACACATATTTTTCCAAAAAAAATAATATATTATATATATTCATTATTTTTATATTCAATACATAACTTCACATTAA